CACGTGTTCAAGCCACAAGGGGAAAGAAAGCATCCATAGTTTGCTCTCTCTTTCTCTCTCTACCTTTATCTTCACATCTGTCTGTCTGCCAGATAGATCCCCCTTACCCCTGATAAACACACACACTCACTCATGCAGCTTTCTCTGTCTCTACTCTGTCTTTTTCTGTATCTGTATTTGTCTGTCTATTGGTCTTCCTGGCTGTCTCTCCCTCTCTTGCTGGAGCCATTCAAAGTGCCCTCCTCATTCAGGGACAGAGTGTGCTTTCTCTGGGCCCATGCCAGATCCTGGAGAGAGGAGTGCTTTGAAAATCCAACTTGGATTCCTCACCAAACCGCATTGCAGTTATGCTTAACGTCTGGCCACCAGTTTGACCACTTAATGTAAGGTCCCTAACCCTACCTATAACTTACCCATTTCATTTTTTATGTAGGAGCATACACTTTTTTAAGCTGGAAGCCTAGTTTAAAATCTTATGAAAACTAAGGGCCCACAGTGAAAGGGTGAGGAGAATACAACTCAACTATAATCAAATTTGGTTTTCCCTCTTTGCTTTCTCGAGAAGGGAAGGCCAGGTGCTGCCCTTTCCAGAGACTAAGTCACAGACCTCGATGTGAAGGGGCTGCTCACTTAGCAGCAGGAGCAGGACTTGAGCTGGCACTTTACAACCAGAATCTCTCTCTCTCACACACACACACACTCTCTCTCTCTCTGCCTGTTTCAAGTTTTAGTGAATGAAAGTTCACATGATAGATTGCCATTCTCAGTTTTTAAATAACTTTTATTGTTGACGTAGAAAATACAATACTGAAATGTTATTGATACATCAGCTGATTTTTAATGTTAGGAAGCTTTGAATCTTGATTTTCTAGTACAAAATTCCATTTCAGGATTTAATAGACAAAGAAGCATTAACTGAAGAAAATGGAGAGAATTGACTATGATAGGAATAGAAAATTGAAAGAACAGGCTTGAAGCTACAGTCAGTTCCGCTGTAAAACAACAGACATTCCTAAAAAATTACCGCACTGTGCAGAATTGTGCACTAAAAACCACATGAGGCTCATTGGGAAAATTCTGTTATGGACACAACACTCAAAAACTTCTTCAGTGACACACAGGAAAAGATAAGAGCCTAACCAAAAGTGGTAGCACAGTTTTGCATAGATTAAATGGTTAAAAAAATACATAAATAGCAGAATAAAAATGACACAGTTTACCTTGAAAATGACCTGGCATTTGCTTCTCGAAGTAGGTGTTGGGAGACTTGCCACTTGTGAGCTATTGTGTCGTGGTGGGAGGAAGGTGCTCTGAAAGCAGGGGACAGTTGTAGCACCAGACTCGGATGAGCATGGCTTCTCACATCCAGGCTGGCCGGAGGAGGATGGTGGATGTGGGGGAATTCTGTGTGTTCCCACCAGGTTCAATTCAGCTGCTTGTCTGCATTCATCTAGTGCTTCTTGCAGCTGAAATCTTGCAAAAGCAAATGCAAAATTTTATTATGCTCAAATTGGTTTTTTTGGTATATCCGTCGCTTTAGAATAAATCAACATTCTCTAAACAAGCATTGCAATAGAACTGACTTAGTTAATTAGATTAAGAATTTTCTTTACACCTGATGTCACGAGAAAATATATCACATTTACTTGAGACACTTGGCTTGAGAATTCTGATACCCACAGGATAGTATAAGGAGTGTACTTTTAAACAAATAAATATATATATATATTATTGATTTGAGAGAGAAGGAGAGACATCATTCAGTACACACCCCAACCCAAGATTGAACCCAAAAGCTGGGCTTGTGCCCTGATCAGGAATGAAACTGGCAACCTTCGGTGCACGGGAAGACGCCTCAACCAACTGAGCCACACCGGCAGGGCAGTAAAAGGAGTCTACTTTTTTAAAGTCAGAGTTCTAGTTGGGTTTTCCCCTCTCTTCATACCACAGACAGGATGTTATTCCTTTAGTACACTGCCACCAGGGATACACAAGATGATTTTTATGGCTCAACATGGAAGCATATTTTAATTTGATATTTAATTATTTTAATATATATCAGAAAAAAATATATAGCAAGCTTACCAAACCTATTGTTTCATAGATGCCACAGTTTTGGAAAAGTATCTCTCAGGTGAGGTACCTTGCTTTATGCTAGGCTATCTGAAAATGGATTGGGGAGTAGTTTCAGGTTGTCCCTGGCAGAGAGGCAGGCACTACTGGTGATGAAGGGATGGGACAACCAGGAATTCTAACTATTTTGAAGGCTGTAGAGAAATTGTCTTGTCCAAAATACTAGTGATGCCCTCATGAACGACCAGTTATTATCAGACTAAGAGAAGTAGGGAACAGTAGAGTTGGTAATTTAAATTAAAATGTTGAACACAGAGTATTTTATGTGGCTTCAGTAAGAACAATGGAAATAGTTTGCAGTTGATAGAAGTTTGAAACACTAGTGGAGGACAAGTAGCAGTGAGCTTTAACAAGCCCTAAAATATAGTGCCACGTGCCAGGCGGTGGTCTCAGTGCTGTATAGATGTTAACTTAACCATGGTTAATGGTGTTTGAGGCATTGGCCAGGTCTAAGGCAGGCTCTCAGTCTTAGAGCGTTAAGAGTCTGGGTGCCCAGGCCATACCCCAAACCAGTTCAGTCGCAATCTCTGAGAGTGGGACTCAGGCATCAGTAGTTTTTTAAAAAAATATGTTTTTATTGCTCAGCCAGGCGTGGCTCAGCGGTTGAGCGTCGACCTGGGATCCAGGCGATCAGAGTTCGATTCCTGGTCAGGGCACATGCCCAGGTTTCGGGCTCTATCAGTGACTCATCATTGACGTTTCTATCTCTCTCTCCCTCTCCTTTCCTCTCTCTGAAATCAATGAAGATATATTTAAATATATACATATTTTTTATTGATTTGAGAGAGAGAGGAAGGAAGAAGGAGAGAGAGAAACATTAATGAGAGTCCTTGATTGGCTCCCTCTTGCACGCCCCCTACTGGGGATCGAGCTTGCAACCCAGGCATGTGCCCTGACCAGGAATTGAATTGCCATGTCCTGGATCATAGGTCAGCGCTCAACCGCTGAGCCATGTCAACTGGGCAAGGCATCAGTATTTTTAAAGCTCATTTGGTTATGCCAATGTGTAGCCAAGGTGTAGAACCACTGGTCTAGGATCATTTGGAAAATCACTCCTCTCACCCTGGCCGGTGTGGCTTGTTCGGGCGTCATCCCGTGCATGGAAAGGTTGCTGGTTTGAGTCTTGGTCAGGGCACATGCCTGGGTTGTGGGCTCCACCCCCCAAATCCCCGGTGCGGAGCGTATAGGAGGCAGACGGTCATACTCCACATTGATGTTTCTCTCTTGCTCACGTGCTCTCTCCCTTCCTCTCTCTCTGAAAAATCAATAAACTACTCTTTTAAAAAAGGAAAAATCACTCCTCTTCACAAGAAAAGCTGTACACATATGCAGATGTTCATTGAGGCCTGCAGGGGAAGGTGACAGACACTGCTTAGGTTAGGCTTCCCATCCAAGGCAGGGGGCAGAAGAGAGAGTTTACCATCCTGACTAGCAAGTGCTGATGCTTGGAAATATATTCAGGATGTTTGGCATCATAGAAAAGAGAGAAACTAAATTAAAAAACCTCAAATGTCAAATTTGGAAATTAGTAAACTTAAGTTGTTTTAGTTTTCGCTTTTTGCACACAGCTTTCTTATCAGGAAAAGGGGAAAAACAAAGGCATCCAATACTTATAAATCACTATCAATTTCCTTCCTAACCTGCTTTTTGCCTTCGTATGGTCAAGTTGGAGAATTTGGATTTTATCTGTAGATAGCATGATAATTTTGTCCTGGTGTGGGGTAGATTTTTTAAGTCCCTCGTAAAGCATTGTTGGACTAATGTCCTTCCGGAATACGTCGTCGCAGCTGCACAGAGAAGCTCAAGACTGGCATAAGTACACCTTTGGAAATAAACCATTTAAGTGATGCCTATAGTCATTGATTCTAATATGCTTACTTTTTCGGGTACTCATAGAGCTTTCAAAGGGTGATCAGTAAATGTTGAATCACACTTTAAAACTTAGAGTTAAGCAAATGTGTCATTTTAAGTGATAAGTTTAATTGAAGGCAGGCACTAACCTACTATCATAAGGTACTTAAGTAGATAAAGTTACTGAATACTTGGTTCCGATGGTAACGTTCTTCAGCTGCTCTCAATTTGTTTAATGTGGATTACCTTACTCTGAGAAAACCCGATTCTCCAGGGGATAGACTTATTTTCAATTATACCTATGTGGTCCCTACCTAAGCATGCATTACTTCTGGTTTCAAGGCCAGGCATCGCTGTTTGTGGTGCTTGTCTTGCGCCTTTGGCATCTTCGTGGTGTGAACCAGAGCTGTGCCATCTGTAGTTGAGTGAGATGATTTAAAAAGGGGAGTGAAATGATTCACTGGAAAATTTCAGCACAGATTCTTAAGTACCGATAAGATAACCCTAGAAACATTCTTATTTAGTGTCATATGCTAGTGGGTAGTGACAGAAAAAAAACGAAGGTACAACTTGTTTTTTAGCATTTGGCTATTTTGAAAATTGGAGCGGTACTGTGCTAGAAGGGAGGAGCGAGTTCCGTAAGGTGTCAGCAGAGTTCTGCAGATGAATGAATAATTTCCTCCTCTCTGACTGCAAGTCGGAGCCAGTGAGGTTCATATACAAAAGCCAGTATTTTCAGGTTTGGAGTGGCTATTGCATTTCCTAATGGCTGTCTCTGATGATAACGCTCTCGATGCTGAGGTGTTTCCTCAGCAGAAGGATCAGTTCCTGGAACCCTGAATAAGTCTGCTGGGCCCAGATAAGCCATTTCTGAAAGCTGCAGAGTTTAATACATGTTTACTTAGTGAGGCATCTCCGGGCCTCAGTGTGCTGTCCTTCAGGGGACTCTTCCAGGTTCCGTTAGAGACTTGTCTGAAACATGGTCTTGCTTTCCTTTTCTCTGTTTTCCTTTTCAGAAAGAAGACATAGCTCGTCCGGCAGGCCTTCGGCCGTTCCCCCCGCGCCAGTGCTCTCCTTCTTCCCCTCTCTGTCCAAAAGCAAAGGCGGCAGTGGCGGTGGGAGCAGCCGCTCTGCCGGCGGAGGTGTTCTCAGCGCGTCCTCACTGGGTTCCAAGCTGTTGAAATCGCCCAAAGAGAAACTGCAGCTCAGGGGGAGCACCAGGCCAATGCATCCGGTTCAGCAAAGCAGAGTCCCCCATGCTAGAATGTGAGTACGGCCACGAGTGTCCCTGCGCTTCCCGTGCGCACCTGCCATCCCCGAGCGCCTGGGCACCCTGGGAAAGGGAGCCCACTTTGGGGAAGGTTCAGATATATGTTGTTTCTTTTTATTTCCTTGTCATATCTTAGGCAGCTTTACAGAGTAGCAATAGCATTAATTATAAGGTGAATAATACTTACTTATTGCTCCTTTACCGTGTGCCACCTATGGAAACTTGGCTGTACGTGTGTATTGTCGTTTAATTATCACAACAACCCTGTGGAGGAGGTGTTGTGACCCCCGTTTTCCAGACAAGGAGAAGGAAGTGCCTTTCAGTCAGACTGAGGAGCCTTAGCCGAGGAGCCCTCGTTCCAGCACTGGGCTCCCATCCCAACTCCGTCACTTCCTAGCTATGGGGCCTTGGACATGGCACTGTTTTTCTCGGAGTCTAAAAATAACAACCATTGTGCAGGGTTATTGGGAGCAGTAGGATGAATATATTAGAGCCAAGCACCTGGCAGAGTGTCTGGGCCACAGGAGAGAGTAAATAAATGAATGCTGGTGCTTCTGCTGCTGCTGCTGATAATAGTAGGAGTAAAAGGGAGGAGAGATTCCCAGGTGCTATTTTGGATTTTCCGAGGCCTGCAGAGTGAAGAGGGAAGCAGAGCTTCCTCCCCCATCCTGGTCCACATGGCAGTGTTGTGGTGATAAGGGGAGACTGGAGAAGTTAACACACCCTCCAGGCCAGGCGTTGGCAGGTTTCCACAGGGGACCTGATGGTTGGCAGGCTCCCTGTGGTCACATGAGAGGGCAGCATGCACTCCCAGAGAAACACATCTTGCATCGTCATGGCATCCCTCAGCCTTGGTGTGGGTGGCCTTTCTCTGGCCTGCCTCCCTTTGGAGGGCATGCCACATATCAGTCCCAAGGTCTGATAACCTGCCTAATCTCAGGGCAGCGTCCAGCACCTGCTGCTACTCACGAACTTGCCAGCTGGGAACGGCCGTGGCAGCTTGCAGTGTCTCTGCTGTCAGGCTGTCTCACGTACAGCTGTTTGGGGCTGTTTGTCCTGGTTGCTAAGCCCCCAGCCTCTGCTCATCTGTCAGAAGTGCAAGTACAGCGAGCTTGGCTTTCGTTGCTTGAGCTGCCTGAGAGCCAGAGAAATGCCCGTGCAGCATGTAAGTCACTCGCCAGCTCCACAGCTGTTAGAGCACTGACTGCTGATAGAGTTTGTCAGACCTCGTCAATCCACGTCTTCTTGACTCAGAGCTGGGCCTTAGAGGGGGGCCTGACAGCTGTTAGCTTCATATCAGCATTTGCCACTCAAATGATCATGTCAGTAAGATCAAGAGAAGTCTGTTTTTTGTTAGTGGCACAGGTATTCAGTGCTCACCAACCGTGTACCAAGACTTGTGTTTAACGCTCCTACGTTAGAAATCTTTTTTAGGGACTGGAGAGGTATCGTTTCAGTGACACATCACTAATTAAACGTCGATCTTGCTCGTTGACACAAGTAGAGAGCTGCTTCTTGGAGATACATTGTTAGGCTTATTTGAGTTCTTGTAAGTCCTTAGTGACACTTCTTGGAAATATTTTTTAATGTCAATGTTTTTTGCTGCTCACTTTGTTTTGATGGGTCCTTTCTTAAAAATAACAGTTCTCAGAGATATTTTCTGCAGGTCCTGCAAATATTCTTTGTTCCTTTTAGACCATTTCATGTTGTGCTTCTTGCAGGAATTGCACTGGGTATCAGGTCTAGATCTCCCATAGGCTACGGTATAAGGGTGTTCTGGAATGATTAAAGAGCAGGTAAATTTGGTAGTCACTGGAGCTTTTTGCCTCACTAAAAGGGCTTATAGACAGAATAAATGTGAACCTTCCTGAGTTTTCTTGGTGGTCTTAAGTTTTCACAAGGTGACTTTGGGAGCCTAACTGCGTGCAGTGCACTGGGTAGATCCAGGCTCTCTCTCATCCCTCTTGCTTGCCCTTTGCCTGGGCCTCTGGGCACTTAGGCATTGCTGTTCTCGCTTCCCCTGCACAGCATGACTCCCTCTGTTAAAGTGGAAAAGATTCATCCGAAGATGGATGGCACACTACTGAAGTCTGCGGTGGGGCCCACCTGCCCTGCTACTGTGAGTTCCTCAGTCAAGCCTGGCCTTAACTGCCCCTCCATACCAAAGCCAACCTTGCCTTCACCTGCACAGATTCTGAATGGCAAAGGGCTTCCTGCACCGCCCACTCTGGAAAAGAAGTCTGAAGATAATTCCAATAACAGGAAATTTTTAAATAAGAGGTTATCAGGTAACTTCACATTTTCCCTTAATGTTTCTCTGTGTCTCCATTCTTAAGGGAGCCTCTGTACCGCTATCTCTATAACACCTTTTAACACCTTAAACAGTGCGCTTGACCTTTTCGCCACTGGTCTAAAGTGCATGTGTGTAGGTAACGTAAAAATAGCTTTTGAGTGGTTTATTTCTGAATGGAGTAATGCAGTAATGCTGACTTAAATACTCGCTCTTCTGTCATCTAGTGGCAGTAATCCTCACTCTGTTCGTGATGTCACTGCTTCTTTGTAGTGGTCATACATTGTATATTTTATATTTATTGATAATGTAGATTTTATTCAAGTTATAATTTGCCTGTTTTGAGATTTCTTCTGTTTTCTTGTTTACAAAATAAGAGAAGGGAGTGTTTGGTAAGCCCGTTGTAATTTCTGTGTGCTTTTGGCAGAAAGAGAGTTTGATCCTGACATACACTGTGGGGTTATCGATCTTGACACCAAGAAGCCCTGCACCCGGTCTTTGACATGCAAGGTAGGTGGCCTCCTGGGCAGACCTGAGTACTCTGGGAAGCACAGATCGCTGGGACAGATGGGCACTGCTCCAAAGTCCACACCCCAAAGGGGATCTGACCTGTGGATTGTTCTGAATTTATAAACAGTTTTCTTGAGAAAGCCTTAGGTTCAGAAAACGTGAAGCCTCTTGTTACAAACTGCAGTCTTCAGAGAGGCTCTGTGTCCAGTGAACAGTGCTGTGTCCAGGGGAACACTGGGCTTTCCCACTCAATCTCTTGTTTTCAAAGACTTCACATTTCTCCAGAGAAATGTAACGTGAGAGACTACCCTTTGCTCTTTAAATTATACCAACTCAGAGCAAGTCCAGAAACTTCCTTTGCATATCTATATAAATATTCTTCAAATCTCCGTGGTTCTTAGATTTTAAAGAGTCCCTTTAGTGTTCTGTGACTTTTAGATTGCCTTATTGTTCTGGGGTTTGTTTGTTTTGTTTTTAAATCCTAGGTAACAGGGATCTAATTGATGTGTAACTTACGGAAACGTAATGCTCCCTTTCTGTCCAGAGGTTTCCTTTAAAATGCCAGTTTGCAAATGAGAAGGTGGTATGTTGCTGTGCAATGTGGGCTGATGTGTAGGAGAGTACCCTCCACAGATCAGTGGGCCTGCTACAGAAGAACATACATGCTTATTTGCATTTCTCTGGAGAGTGTCCCCAATTCCCTTCAGAAAAAGTCAAGAAGTATTAAGAATCACTGCTTTGAAGTATGTAATTTAAAACCCCTTGTTTGGAGGAGAGGTTAAAAATTATAAGAATTAGTCTTATTTTCTAAAAGTTAATGAAGTTGTTGAGGTATTATTTTAAATTTTACCAAAGATTGTGTTTAAATAAAGGACTTCAAGCCCCACTCCATACCATGAACAGTGGAGGAATGTTATAATTTCCCAGAAATGGGAAATGTTACTTGTAAGTGATTCTTACTTTAATTTAAATTTCTAATTTAATTTTAGTATGTAGATTTTTATCTTACAAGAGTAGTTCTGATCTTTTGGGGAAAGGGGTTAGTCAGGGGCACCTTTATATGTAATTTTTAAAAATCACAGATTCTCATCCCTAAGGGAAAAAAATAAACATATGTATATTCTGAATTTTGCATTCTGTTTAGTTAGGAGTTGTTGGATGTTTCTCACTGCAGGTCCACCACTGAATCTCTAGGTTAAAATTCCTAGGTCAGAACAAATTGCATTTGCTTTATATAATATTAATTGAATACACAGTGGTGTGTTGCTGTTGTTCTCTGAAGATAGCCACTTGAGCTCTGTAGGATTATGCTTGTCTCAGCTGCCCCTAAGCAACCTGTGAAAGCTTGCCTCAGCCCTACCATGGATCACCACAATTTGCCATTCTCTCTGCTTTCTCCCCGCCTTCCTGATTCTCAGGTGGCATAGATTTCTCAGTGTTAAGACACCTATGGTCAATGATGGATGCTTTCTTTATCCAACATGCTCTTTTTTAATCGTCTCTGAGGTATGCTGTGAACCAGAAGCTTGATCAACTAGGAATCTGCCTCCTTTCTGAACCTTTAATGATGGGTGAACTGACTTTACGTGCATCCTGCATTTTTCTCCCATGTTCCTTTTTTTTTTAATAAATATGTTTTTAATGATTTTAAAGAAAGAAGAAAGGAGAGGGATAGAGAAATAGAAACATGGATCGGCAGCCTCCTGCACGCCCCCTACTTGGGATTGAGCCCACAACCTGGGCACATGCCCTCACCGGGAATCGAACCGGTGACCTCTTGGTTCATGGGTCGATGCTCAAGCACTGAGCCACACCAGCCAGACTCCCATGTTCCTTTTCAAATCATGGGTTCTCTACCTATTTTTTGTTAAGGGTGTCATTACTGACCCGCATGGTGCTGATCCTGTCATCACGTTAATAGTGTCTTCAGCCCTGGCATGTCAAGAGTTCAGCATAGAACTGCCAGGAAACCCAGCATGTTGGCATACCTGCCCCTCTACAGATGCCCTTCCTTCCTTCCTGTGCTCTCGGTGTTTCACCCTTCCCTGCCTCTGTGGTCTGAATCTATTCCACTGTGTGGGCTAAACATGCTTGAGTTCCTCGCCGAATGCTCCCCCCTTGCTGCCCAGGTCTCCTGTCTTGGACTTAGAGCATTGTTCATTCTCTTTGATGTCAGGGGATCTGCTGCTTCAACTCCTGTTACTTGTTCCCCATTGTCTGCCTGCCACCCTCACTGTCCCCTCTTCGCTCCCTCATCTGTCCAGTGTCCTGTGTAATGTTCTCTTTGCCTTTCATGCAAATAGGCTTCGAGTCTGCTAGCCAGAGGATACCAGGGTGTCACAAAATCAAGGCATGTTCCCTACACTCATGGAGTTTACAGTCTAATGAGAGAGATGGAGATTAATATAATCACTCAACTAAGTGTCAGGTTACCAGTGATGAGTTAAAAAACAGGCGGCGTGCGTAGCTAGTTTCGCTCAGTGGTTAGAGCGTTGCCCACGAACTGAAGGGTCTCAGGTTTGATTCTTGCCAAAGACTCATTCCTCAGTTGCAGGCTCAGTCCCCTGCCCTGGTCGGGGTGAGTGTGGAAGGCGACTGATCGTTGTGCCTGTCTCACTTTCACGTTCCCCGAAAAGCACTGGAAAAAATATCCTTGAGTGAGGATTAGAAAGAAGGGGAGGTGGCTGCGCCGGAACAGCCCTGAGGGGAGGCGGTGCTGGGCAGCCGCCTGTGCCGCAGCAACATGGGCTGAAGTCCACATTTAACTGGGCAGAGAGTGGCGGGAGAGACAGGAAACAACGTGTGATGGCTCCGTGACGGGCAGAACAGACACCTAGGGTCTGAAGGACAGCCAGGAGGCCGAGCGGGAGGAGGAGGCATGGGGGCGGGGGTGTGGGGTGCGCATGGCCTGGAAGCCTGCTCACACAGTCAGCCCTTACCCTAGGAGCATGAAAGGCTGGGGGCATCAGATTTGTGTTTGGGAGATTCTTCAGCACTCAGTAGAAATCCTATTTACTCTTCAAGCCAAACTGGGAAAATATGGATCATCTCAGCCTCCTTTCTTCTCCTGGCTTTTCTGTGCTAAGCACCAGGGGACATCCAAAGATGAGGAAAAGCATCTACATCTGGCTGGAGAAACAGGCAGGTGTATCAGTGATGTTATGTATTTATTTGTTCCTTCGACACGTGTTGGATTGGAGGGCCATTTTTGTTTGAAGCATTTATTGAGTGCCAGGTGCTGTCCTAGGTGCTGGTATAGCACTGAACAGAATAGATCCTATCTTCATTCAGGTTATTTCCTTGTGAATATATTACATACTTAAAGAAAATTAAGTCAAGCCCAGCCAGCATGGCTCAGTGGTTGAGCATTGACCTATGATTCAGGAGATCGAGGTTCAGTTCCCCATCAGGGCACATGCCCGGGTTGCAGGCTCCATCTTTAGCAAGGGTATATAGGAGGCAGCCCATCAATGACTCGTCGTTGATGTTTCTCTCTCTCTCTCCCTCTCCCTTCCTCTCTCTGAAATCAATAAAAATACATATATTTTTAAAAATTTAAAGAAAATTAAGTCAAAATTTAGGAAGCTAAGCACATTTATCTATCTGCCAGATTAGATTTGGGGTGTGCATAGTTTTCAGTATGTCTAAGGAGGAGGTAGGTTATTTTACTGAAATTCTGAAGGACAGCAGAAGCTTAATTCCTCTTAAACCTCTTGAATTGTAGCAAACACGTAAACTGGTAGAGCAACACACTTGTATGATGTTTGAGCCATGAACACACATGAAGTATCATCTGCAATAGTTTGTAATGAGATAGAAGGAAATGTTTGGATGGATTCACTGATATTCGGGATTCTCTCTGTTCTGTGTCTCTTCTCCTGTCAGCCTTTTGAGACTACTCGGCCTTAGCAGTCCCTGTCTCCAGGTTCCTCTGAGCCACTTTCTTTACATGGCGTCTTCCTGGCTATAGAGAAACACTTGTATTTCGTTTTTACTCTGACAGTTACTAAAAGAAGACGTCTTGATACAGAGCTTGTGGAGTAATTGTTTTTTCCCTTTTAACATTTAAAACCCTAAATGGCCCAAAGAGGGATTTTTCTAATGGAGTTGCTGAGAGCCCTGTAAAGCAGTTGTTACTGTCGCTCCTGCTGGTTTCTCCTGTTTGGTGCTGGCTGGCACAGTGAACATCCCTTCCTGTGGCAGAAATAACGTCACCTGGAGCCTGGAAATACGGGCCTCTCTTCTAGCTAAAGGAAAAAGATCATACGATTTCTAGCTCATCAAATGCTGAGCACATGCTAATGGTCCAGATTGCAATTTTATTGGGAATGATGTTTTTGAGTATATGACAGAAAAAATTCTTACTGAGATACCTCCGTTTCTATATTCTTTTGGTCTGCAGACACATTCCTTAACCCAGCGGAGAGCTGTCCAGGGTAGAAGAAAACGATTTGATGTGTTATTAGCCGAGCACAAAAACAAAACCAGGGAAAAGGAATCGATGCGCCATCTGGACTCTCAGCAACCAACACAGCCTCTCAGGGACCCGCATCCCGCCCCTCCTAGAACTCCACAGGAGCCACACCAAAACCCTCACGGAGTGATTCCCCCCGAATCAAAGCCTTTCTTAGCTAGTAAACCTAAACCTCACACCCCCAGTCTTCCAAGGTAAGCCAGGTTTTCCAGCTCTTTCCCCCTCCTTCCCAGAGCAGACTTGGAGGTTCTGTCAACCCCAGTGCGGTCGTGATGTCGAGGGCTGTCCGTCAGGTTCACTGTGAGATGAGATGGTTTTAAATTGGGCTTCACTCTAGGGGAACGTTGAGGTCGTCTTTGGGCTCTCGGCCCAGTGCCGGCAGCAGCATAAAGCCAGCGTCGCCTGCTCCCCACCTGCTCACCGTTCGGTGTCTCCCAGGCCCACTGAGCCGGCGACACTCGGGTCCTGCCTGCAGGTTAGGGGCTGGGACATTTCCCATGGCTTTGGCAGCAATTTCCCATCCATTTGTCTCGCTTCTCGCAAATGCAGCATTGGGAATCCCTTGCTGGGGACATTCAGCCTAATTTTTTCAGCATCCATTTATCAGCCTGTTTTTTTCATTCATTCATGTGGGACTTTGGCCTAAACATGTATTAGGCATGTTAGCCATGCACTAAGCCATGGGTCAGAGTGTTCTACTGAGAACTCCTCATGCACAGCCCTCAGAGACAGTGCTGGAATGTATACGTGTATGTCTGTGCTTGCGCAGTTACCCAAGTTGAAGTGAAGGGCTTTGTACCCAATTTCCAGAGTGAAGGCACAGAGAAGGAGGCCTCCAGTGCTGACCATGGGCAACAGGGTTTCTGCTTAGGGATGTGCCAGCCCTTGTTGCCGTTGCCTCACGTTTCACACTCATATGTCTGATCCTTGAAATTATCGCATGAGGGGTGGAAATGCCTCCCTTGTGGGAACCCAAGTGTGAGCTTGAGCCTGTCCCCAGGAGCCCTCTGGTTTCTGAGCAACATGGTGGAAGAGCAGTCAGGAGGCTCCCAGAGTGTGACCAGGCCCCTCCATGATTCCTTAGCAAGTCCTTCCTTTGGCCACCTTCTCACTGCAGTTTTTCCATCTGTCAAAAAGTAAGCTTAATTTTAGACCCACTAGGCTTTTGTATGTGGAGGAAAAAAGCATCGCTGTCCTTGAGTAACAGGCTTCAGGGTCGCTCTTCGCATACAGTAGTAATGCTCCCTGGTCAGGTTATCTCCTCCTGTCCCTCTGAGGTGGTTGTAGAGCATTTTGTCAGTTACCTCATTCATTGCCGTAGGAACCCAAATCCAGGTGAAATTTGAAGAGGAACCAAAGAAAGGATTCTCTTAGATTCTATGTATGTAGTTCCTTCATTTAGGGAGACTAGGAGGAGGACCTGAGCCCCCAAGTGGCTGTAGAAAGGAGAGCTAGTTACAGGTCACCTGGGCTAGACCTGGCAACAGCTGCATTTGACATCCTGCAGTTCAGGGGAGAGGATCCTGCACTCCCGGGCCACCAGGCTCAGGTTTGCCCAGGGCTAGTGGTGTTCCCAGTCCCCTAGGTGGTTTTGGATACGTTGTTGTATCTGAGTTAAGGCGGCTGATTCCCAGACTTGTGATCTGATCAGTGCTGCACTTTCTGCTCACCAAGGCCTCCAGGCTGCCCTGCTCAGCAAGGTGGGAGTGCCCCCATTGACCCTCCTCCAGTCCATGAATCTCCACACCCTCCCCTGCCTGCCACTGAGCCAGCTTCTCGGTTATCCAGTGAGGAGGGAGAAGGCGATGACAAAGAAGAGTCTGTTGAAAAACTGGACTGTCATTATTCAGGTCATCATCCTCAGCCAGCATCTGTAAGTTCCACATCCGCCCCGCGTTGATCTTCCCCACACAGCAGGGACAAGACACTGCAGGGGGGCTGCGCCAGGGACCTTGGCATGCCCATACCCGTGGGACACGGTAAAGGTGTGAGAGCAGCTCAGAGCAGGGTGCCCAGAGGCGGCATGCACTGTGTCCTGGGACGTCTCATGCTTCTCCCTTTCTCTCCATGAAACTCAGGGCCAGGCATTGTCACGCTCATGCTTCACAGCCTGTGGCACTCAGAGTCAGCTGTCTTTCACTAGCTCCATGCCTGCAGGAGAGGACCCTTCCCGGTGTGCCGCTGTCCGAGGTAGCAAGCATGGCCCTTGTGCTCTCTCTTTCAGTTTTGCACATTCGGGAGCCGGCAGATTGGAAGAGGCTATTATGTGTTTGACTCCAGGTGGAATCGGCTTCGCTGCGCCCTCAACCTCATGGTGGAGAAGCATCTGAATGCGCAGCTGTGGAAGTGAGTGCCCGTCTCACCACCTGGGATGGGAGAGGGGTCCAGCTTCTCAGCACTGCATCCTCTTTATTTCTTGTGGGAGTAGTTTAGTGAAGATAAGTTTATCTGAATGAAAGTGTGGGCTGTGACTTGCCCGCCTACTCCCCATGCTTTTTTGGTTCCCAGGACTGGGTCCCACAGCCTGTTCTTTAGGCTCTGACTTTCTCAGCCACCTGGTGGCCAGGAGAAGCCACTGCACCCAGTGAGCACGAGCTCCTGTACTTAACTGAGAGCAGGGCTTCTCACAGGTGCCAGAGCCCATGCCTCGTCTGGGATCTTGTTTTGAGACACAGATCCTGATGAAGTAGGTCTGGAGTGGGACCTGGGGACTCAGCATTTGTACTAAGCTCTCAGGTAATGGCAGGTGCTGTCCTCCATAAGAGTACAGGGATAGATGGAGGCCAGCTTCACAATCTTGGGTTCACGTTGGAATCTCCTGGAGAGATTTAGAAATTACTGGTGTCTGGGCCCCACCTCCCAGGGACTCTGGTGTTCGGTGGAGCCAAGGTTGAGAAGCACTGACTCAGGGCCAGAGCCACACTTTTTTGTTCAGTTGATTTTTTAGAGGGGGAGAGGAAGGGAGAGAGTAAAAGAGAGAAACATCGATTTTGCTGTTCCCCATCTTCATTCATTCATTGGTTGATTCCTATATGTGCCCTGACTGGGGACCAAACTCGCAACCCTGGTATATCAGGATGACACTCCAACAACTGAACTACCCAGCCAGGGCCAGAGCCACACCCTCGAATGGGAGTTTTAAAGCTGCTGCAAACACTTGCAGTAATTAATTCCTTTTATTTGTAACTCTAGTTCTTTAAAAGCTTGTGGAAGGCACTTTGGCAGCAGTCAGGCCAACGTTCTCACTTGTTTGGAAGATGAGGAACTAGAGCCCCCGCTGGCTTGGGGAGGGGATCAGCTGGGGCTGCCGGAGGTCAGGGCCGAGCAATCCTGGTACTCACCACCCCCTCAGCCATTGTCAGGTCGGCCACCTCAGTGGCACTCTGCCACAGAGGTTTAGAAATGTTGGTGCTGTCACATTTTAAAATCAGCTAAAATAAAAGGGGGCCTCCCTGTTTTGACTATTTAAATGGCTCCCCATCCCCAAATGAATACCTTGCCCAAGTACCATTAACAGAATACACTGTTTCCACACTATGACTAGAAGTCCCCTGAGATTTGGGACCTGTGGTTAGGACCAGCAGTTGTCATTACTTAGCTTGCCCTACCGCCTTCCTCATTCGTGACTTCTCTTGGCATTCAGAGCTCCGAGTTCCCGGCACTGTGCTGGCTCTGCCGTTAGTGGTGAGTAAGCTCCCTCTGCAGAGGGTCAGACTGTGATCAGCAATCACAGTAGAGCCACCTGAGTTTTCCAGAGTCTGGACCAGGGCAATGTGAGTCCAGGGATGGTCAGGACAGGTTTCCTAAGAGAGTGATGATGGACTGTAACTAAAAGGGGGAGTAGAAGTTGGGGTAACAGTGCTCTGGGCAGGAGATAAGGGGTCTTAGGTTGCAGGCTCTTCTCTGAACGATTGGCAGCTGGAATCAGGACATGGGGTGGGGTGGGGTAGGGTGGGGTGTGAAGTTGGGTGGCAGCCACCGGAAGGCACGTGGGACCTGAGAGCCCCAGGGGAGGCATTAAAGAGCTTGAAGGAGAGGAGTGGCAGAACTGAGTCTGCGTTCAGGACCCTCTGACAGCTTGTGTTTCTCAACCCTGGTGGTGTAGGAAGTGCCTGTGAGTGGTGTGCTGACCGGGACTCACTCCCTCTCCTTTCTACAGGAAAATCCCACCGGTGCCCAGTACCACGTCGCCCGGCTCCACACGTGTTCCTCACCGGACAAACTCTGTGCCCACATCCCAGTGTGGGGTCGGCTGTCTGGCAGCAGCCACTGTGTCTGCATCCCCAGCCCTGCTCTCGTCCACCTGCATCTCCCCAAACAGCAAATCGGTACCAGCTCACGGAACCACACTAAATGCCCAGCCCGCCGCATCCGGGGCGATGGATCCCGTGTGCAGTATGCAGTCCAGACAAGTGTCCTCCACCTCGTCCCCTTCCACGCCCTCTGGCCTCTCCTCAGTGCCCTCTTCTCCTTTGTCCAGGAAACCTCAGAAGTTGAAATCCAGCAAGTCTTTAAGGCCCAAGGAGTCTTCTGGTAATAGCACGAACTGTCATACCACCAGTAGCAGCAGTACCAGTGGCACCTCAGGAAAGAAACGCAAAACTAGTTCTCCACTGTTGGTTCACTCGTCCTCCGCCTCCTCTTCTTCTCATTCCATGGAGTCTTTTAGGAAAAACTGTGTGGCTCACTCGGGGCCTCCCTACGCCCCCACAGTGGCGTCTTCCCATGGCATCGGCCCCAACTGCGTGACGAATAAAGCAAACTCGGCGAGTGTCCGACACGAGCCATCAGGGAGGGGCGCCCCCGGGGGGAGCCCTGCTGAGTCCATCAAGAGGATGAGTGTGATGGTGAACAGCAGCGACTCCACGCTGTCCCTGGGCCCGTTCATCCACCAGTCCAGCGATCTGCCCATCAATTCCCATGGCAGTTTCTCACACTCACACACTCCTCTAGACAAGCTCATAGGAAAGAAGAGGAAGGGCTCGCCTGGCTCGAGCGGCGTCAGCAGTAGCAAACCCACGAAGGTTGCCAAATTGCCAGCCCTGAACAACGTCCATCTGAAACACACAGGCGCCAGCCCAGGGGCCCCAGGGCTGACGAACAGTTCCTTCCTTCATCAGGTAGGAAATGGACTGTGGGCCCCAGGCGGGTGCCATTCCCTCTCTCTTGACATCTTTCGCCATCTTGGACACCTGGGTGGTTGGGTTGTGAGGTTTGCCTATAAACAGATGTCCAGCTTTCTGCTGTCTTTTAAGAAAAGGAAGAGCTCGTGGCCATATGAAGGTAAAATAGGCTCCCTCTTGGCCAGAATTTTTGATGACCTGGAACGTGCCCCAGGGTCAGGAAGCCATGCAGTGCATTTCAGCAGATAGGGCCGTGACACTATCGGGCGTGCATGGCCAGTGAGTGGGTTCCCGGGGTCGGTGGTGTCTGCTGCTCAGGAAGGAGGCAGGCTGTGTCCTGGAGAGCAGCTCTATAGCGTGTCCTCGGGAAAAAGCTGGGTTAAGACCAGGCGGACCTAGAAAGGGATGATTAAATTTTAAAAAGAGCTTTTAATATTTTTTCCTTCAGAGAATTTTATATTTTCTGGTTAACTGTCTGTATATTTTCCCCTTCCTGTTTTCCAGGGAGGCAGGAAAAACAGCATAAGTACTATGCAGCTGTGAAAAAGGCGGCTCTCTTATCCTTTGAGACAGCGTGGAGGGACCTGCAGGCTGTTGGATTCTTAATTAACAGTGGCTTTCTTGCTTAGCTGCGTCTGCTTTCCCCCACTTCTCCCCCTGTTACTGTCCCCTCCTGGCCTTCTCTCCTTCAGCCCTTCCTCCAGCTCCCTTTGCTCTAACGTCCAGCTCATCTCTCATCTTGTTATTTCATCCATCAGGATATCTCCTCACCTTGCTTACGAACAGGAATTTCAGCAGCATCACCCCCGAGCCCTGGTTTAAAATGTGAGGCTCTTTTTGTTTGTTTTTTCCTTCCTCATCTTCAGAACCTAACTCAAATGCCAGGTTAGGACTTTTCCAGAAAATACCAGGGGCATATCCAGTATCTGTATGAATTAATACCCACAGCCAAAGATTTGGGGGAAGTAATTATCCATGAATTTAAATAGCAGCTGCTTGAATTCTATTTAGCCTCAAATACACATGGGCTGTGTGTATTATTTGGCTCTTCGATCGGGGCATCCTGACCGTGTGTGTTTACTTGTTGGTTTGTAGTTACTGCTTACATGTAGTTTACAATAAGCATAAAACTGCAGTGCAGACACCACAGGAAATGGTATCCCCATCCCCTAAAACTCCCTTCTGAGCGTAGCTTCCCTTACGAGTGAACTCGCAGGAGGGCTGTTCCATTGCATTGCGATGCCCACTCTGTTACGACGAGTACAGCCTGCCTTGTGGAGACATGCTGAGCCCCTACTGCCCCGAACAGAAAGGAGGCGGCGTGGCTGGGCGGCGCCCGAGAGCAGCAGTGCCTGTGGAAAAGGGCAGTGGAAGCCCCATCTGCTCTCACTGATTTGTTACCATTTTAAGGAGATACTGCACACCCAGACTTGGGTCAGAAAAATGGCCACCTTTTAAAGCTGTGTAGTTCTGGTTGTCTTTTGTTTTTTAAGCTAACAGCCCACACAGGCCAAATTTGGCTCCTGAGGTAGCAGTTTGCCACCTCTGATTTCCACTGTCTGGGGGGCTGTGTCCCACTAGGACCAACAGCCCAAGTTTCCATTCTATTCTTTAAATTTGTTTTCAACAAGTTTGTATTTGAGAATGATTTCCTGCACGCATCCTAGGGGGGCCCACGGCTAGAAATCAGAGGATCCGTGAACCCCCAAAAAGTGTTGTATGTTTTTATGTCTGTGTTCATCTCCTGCAAGAGAGATCCTATAGCTTTAATTCATATCTCAAAGGGACCCAGGATTCCAAAGCCCTTTAAAGAATGCTGCTCTTAGAAAAGTAGCTACCTCACCTCGCTGTCCCTCATAGAGCCGACGTTAAAGTAGAGATACTGAGCTGGTTGAAGCCCCTAAACAAGGGAACGGATGCAGTGGGACATGCTGGAAAGCCTAGAATGTGCGACTCCCAGTCTGTTCATGGTCAGGGTTCCCTCTCCCCCAGCGTGGGCACTGCTTTGGGTGTGAGTTTTCACACCTGTGCCAGCCAGCCCCTTTGCCCTTGTTCAGTTCTCAGGTGACAATCTGGAATGCCTTCAAGGAGAAAGGATCAGCAAATAAAACCAAAGACAAACATGTGAGCTTTTCCTCTCAGCTAGAAACCCAGCCTGCAGCTCTCCTAGACAGTTTCCTAAAACTTGGTCTTGGGAGTGTTTGCGATCTTGCTCCCTGGCATATGTCATCAAAAAACAAAACAAAAAACCCCTCAGTCTTTTAGAATGATTGTGCCCAAGAGCGGTGATGGCTTTTGAAAGCTGAGACCAAATTCTTTAGCGGCCTGCTCCTGGCCTCCCAGTCAGTGAGGACTTCAGGGGCCTGTGGCCTTGGGATGTTCTTGTTTAGTATTAGGGCAGCACAGTACACAACCTTCACTTACCTTTTCACTGTTTCCCCACCTCTCTGTTTTGAAAGCCAAAGACACGTCCCTGACAACTGAAAATAGCACGGGGAGGAATAATCTGGACACTTTTGACGACAAGCTACACCTCCACTCAGCACTCTGGACTCCAAGATGCCTTTGAGTCTGTTTTCCCAGCCTCCTGTGGGCCTCAAGGGTAGAGCTCTGCGGGCTGTTCTAACGAAGAGTCCCCGAAGCTGTGTGTGCAGCAGTGAGGACTCTAAAGGACACTGGATCAAGTTCAGCCACCGGATTGCTTCTATCAGTGTTAAAGTGGTCTGGACTGCTCGTTACCAATCTGTGAGAAATTTTTGTTTTGTTTTTTTAACTTGCAGTATATCATGGAGCCACTCTTCGAGTAGATTGGCTGGGTGAAAGAATGTTCTGGCAAGAACAGTACTGTAGACTTTTCTCCCTCCCTCCTCTCCCTGCCCCGATTCTTTTTCACACTGTCCTCTGCAGGTCACGCTGGCGGTTAGGCACCTTAACTGGAGACACCTTCCAGAGGGGAGAAAGCACTGCCCTGAGCAGCCTCCAGAGAAGGGAGCCTGTCCCTGGGTTGTGATATCAGTGTTCCAGGAGTGGGATGTGGATGCTAGCTCATGCACCATGACAAAATAGCTTGTATTTTGCCCAGCGTTTTGCAAGTAACTTGGGATAAGAAACTGCCAGAAATTTTCTAACTTATAGACTGGTTTACAGCAAGTATACACTGTTTTAGAGGCTTACTTTTCATGGTACAAAAGCAGTTCTGTGTGACTTTAAAAAAAAAGAAGGAAACATGCAAACTAGTTTTGATAATGGAAAGCCAAATTTGGAGGAGGGGAATAAAAATTATATGGGGAAAATTTTTTCCAAGATTTCCAAAGAGGTGGAATTTTTCTATTCTTTAACTCTTCATTTTAAACAGTGTGGGTTGGCTGTCCTGCCCAGTCTCCTGTTTCCAGAAAATTGCCTTTATGAAGTGAAATTATCAGGATGCAGCAGAAACTGTCATTCACAAAGTCATTAACTGTTTCCAAGGCACTCTCCGCACTCCCCCCTCTCCTCTGGACCCTGTCCTGGGTCGAAGGTAAACTGCCTTGGGCCCCCTCCCGCACTGTGTGTGCATGGCCCACTGCCATCTCAGAGGCTTATTTGGTTGCCACTGGGGTAGCGAGCAGGTGCCCGGGAGGGAAGGGCGAATCTGTGCACATCCCATGCAGGGGTGACGGGTGCCACCCGGTGTTTCCCCAACACCGTCTATCCTGGGACTCATGCCAGCCATCTTCCTGAGAGTTTCAGAGACCCTCCAGGGTATTTTTTCCAGGCCCCACCCCAAAAGAAGGAGCTTAATATATTACAACATCATTGTTGAGAAGGAATTTGGGGGTAAGTTGGAGTATTTTAACAGGTGATTCCACCACCACAGCTCCTGAACGAGAGCCAGGCACCTGTGCTTAGAACACACGAAGTGGCTGAACACAGGGTCCATTTCCCAGGCCCTGGGCACCCCCGGGCAGGCCCGTCCTGCGGCTTTTCCTCCCTACAGTTCTCGGGTTACTTCAGTTTCAGGGAATTTCAAGTCAACAACAGGTAGAATGAATAAATACTTGGTTACCAGCCTAATAATGTGAATTGCTACAGAATTAATCTTATTATGTAAGAAAACAAAAACTTTATGCAGATACTTTAGCTATAAATTGATGTAAAATACTGATTTTTTTAAAAAAAAGGATGGGGAGAACAGTCTCTTGTTCACTTATGCAATCGATCAGTACATGCTTTTAAACGATGCTGTAGGAGAGCTTAGTCAGGAGAGGGCCTGGCCAGGCCAGTCTGGTGTAGTCAGGGCACATCTGCCTGGCTGTCCCATCCCAGTGGAGGGCAGGAGGTGAGAGGGAATCGGGACGCTCTGACGTGATTCCTTGGTGACAAGTGCAATGGGGTTTGGGTAGAAGTGATTTTCAGAGCCAAGGGGACTTGATGGGTATAAATAAAGTTGCTCTTAGCAATGGAGTTTATAGACAGATCATGTTGTTCCAAAAGATGTAACTAGGATCCACAGTAGCGAGTTGGTTTAGAATAATGCAGATGTACCTGGAGTAGCGGGATTGATCATTTGATTTCTTAGACTGAGGTTTTAATTGGGTTTTATCCTGTCTCCCGATAGTACAAAGAGCATCGGGATTAGGAAATTAGCCATTTTGGATTCTGCCTGCCACAAACAGACCTATTCTAAACAGTGCTATTAAATTTTAGACTGTTGTTCAAATATTTTATTTTCTCCTACAACTACTTTTTATTATGATGAACAATTAAGACCATTTAAAACGGGAGTACAAGTATTTTTTTGAATTAAATTAACATGCAAAAACCAAATTTGCAGTGGTTGGGTTGTTTCTAGACAGACTTTGGTATCAACTTAAAACCAAGATAATTTTTATATTGTTTCCAATAGAATTTCATGACAACTCCTGCAGTTTTCTTAACCTAAAAAATAGTGCTGCGATGATGAACAAAGAATTATACAAAACCTACTTTTGTACCTTTATTTTGGAATTTCTTGCTCTATTATGAATATGGAAGTGTCCCTATCTCAGAAGACGTATTTTGTTAAAAATGAATTGTACATATTTAAATATGTATTTTTGCACAGGTCTTTTTTTCTGATATCCTGTTTTGGTACAATTGAGATCATCTAGTATTTATTTATTAATTAATAAAAGTAAATACCTTTTTATAATTTGAAGTGGTTCACTGCCAAGCCAATAGTTCTAGAACCTGCCTCCTCTACAATGTAAGGGATGCCTCTGTCCTGTGGACGTCCCTCTGTCCCTTTAACGTCTCGGGAGTGGATTCAGACCGATGAGTGGGCATTGCTTCTCCTGGTTGCCTGGCTTCCTGTAGACGACATGGAACTAAGTGACACACTGCTTTTCTTTTGTTTCATGTGAGAGAGAGTGCGCGCCTGTGTGTTTGTATGTGTATTCTCTGAGCACATGTGTGTTGGTATGTGATGTGGTTTAAAACTAATGGAAAAAAACTGAAAGTGCCTGAACCTAGTTTTAAGCTTAGACAGATTCTCTTTAAAAAGACTTGAATGTTCAGTTGAACTCTTGGAGTTTGCTTTTCCCACCTAAATACTGTTTCTAAAAATTTAGGGGAGGAGTTGAATACCACCAATGCTGGTAATTTTATAAGGTATTTTAAAATTCAGACTTTTTGGTTCACAGTAATTCAACTGGTGGTGGATGCCTAGTGGCACCGAGGGTTACAAATCTTTTGTCAGCCAGCAACTTACATGATGTGTCCATTTTGTTACTCACTCATGAAATATTGAGTTTAAAGAGAATATTTAAAATTTTTGTATTCCAAAAATATAATACAAAGTACCTCTGAGAACATTGAAAATAAATGTGTAATTTGGAAAATAATTTATAAAGGCAGCTGTCTTCCTGCAAGAGTTCTGTTGCCAAGGAATTTCTTAATCTCTCTCATTCTGCCTTGGGGGAAAATGTTGGGCTTTGGAAAATGATTGTTAAAAGTTTCATTGTTCAGAAGAAAATAATCATTTTTACATTTTGTGCAAAACATTTTACATTTTCAGATCATTGAAATGAGCACTACATACTGTCAGGTGAATGTGGGGCTTGGAAGCATTTTGCTGTTCTTGAGCTTGGTTATAAAAGCAATCTCCTGTGTTAAACGTGTGACTGGCTTGATAATTTGTACACAGAATCAAGAGCATCTCAGCTGGACTTTGTGTTGGCTGCTGTATAGAACAAGAACAAATGTCAAGGGATAGAAAATTACTTTGGATATTTAAAAGAGAAGAAATATATAGTCTATTTGTTTTGTAACAAGTTTCTGTAAATAAAATAATTTATACTATTTATAAGAAAAAGTTGTGCTTTGCTTTATGAGAAATTAGTTTGTGGAACAAACATGTTACTAAACGGGCAATAAAATTAGGACTTCTCAATAAATAAGGTTGGCTGCATGAACTGTTTCAACGTTTCTGCCTCGTTGTGACACTGAGCCCTCTTTATCAGACACCCTTGTGAAGCGCCTCCCGTCAGTCCCCTTCTCTGCCAGCCAGGTGCCCTGGGCCTGGGGTGTTTCCATCCTTGGGCCCTGGGGATGAATTGGTGACTGCAAACAGAGACACCGCTGCATTCCTGCCCTGCAGGTTTGTCAACAGCGGGGAGTTGACAGATTGAGAAACACACCCTACTTGTACTTGTTTATATGTAAATTTGATGGCAAGTGGTCAGTTTGGGTTGAGGTAAGCTTTTTATCCAGAGCTGGCATGGTCTCTTCCTTGTTTTTACAAACCTCTTTATTTGGCAGTACAAGTGCATTTTAGTATTACTCGGAGCAGAACATAATCTTTTATTTCTAGAAACTGGCCAGTGTTATCATTTACAAATAAACCATTCCAGTAAAATAAGGGAAGCAACGGATTTATGTGTGGAGAAAGCAACCATTTCTGACATGAAGCTGTCAGGCTGGCTTCCAGCCCACTGCCCCATGGACTCCCTTTCCCTCCTGGACCAGCCAGCGACTCAGCTGCCTTCCTAGGAGCTCCTTTCGCCTGGGTGTCCGTCCCCCTTACACATCCTGGGAAAAGATTCAACTCCACAGTCTCTTACCCTTTTTTCTTCTGTTCCCTTCCTTGCAGGTGACCTGACTAAGGAGAGCAGAAGATCCCAGTGCAAGGAAGGGGGTTGGTAGTGTTGGCTCTTGGTGTGTTGGGAGCTCACGGCAGAAAGGTAGGTGAGGCGGCAGCCAATCAATGTTTCTTTCTCATTGATGCTTCTCTTTCCTCTCTCTAAAAAATCAATAAAAGCATATTTTAATATTGTTTTATTTTTAGAGGGAAAGGGGGAGAGAGAAACATCAATGATGAGAGAGTCATTGATCGGCTGCCTCCTACACGCCCCCTACTGGGGATCGAGCCCACAACCCTGACCGGGAATCGAACCAGTGACCACCTCTTGGTTCATGGGCTGACGCTCTAACCACTGAGCACACCGGCAGGGCCATAAAAGTGTATTTAAAAAAAAAATAATAGTAAACTAAAACCGCATCACTGTCCTGACCGGTGGCTCAGTTGGTTGGAGCGTCATCCTGTTCCGGGCTGCGAGTTCGATTGCCGGTCAGGGCACATGCCTAGGTTGTGGTTTGGTCCCCAGTCAGGGCGAGGACAGGAGGTCAATGTTTCTCACATCACTGTTTCTCTCCCTCCCTGTAAAAATCAATCAGCATGTTCTCAGGTGAGGATTAAAAATATAAATAAAACCCCCATCACATGGGACCCTCCAATAAGGAGGACATAGTGGCCTGTAAGAAGAACCTTAGGACAAAACTTACAAAGCTGTTGTAATAATCCAGGTAAGAGTGACTGCGTTTCCAAACTAAGGTAGTGACCTCAGGGAGAAAAGGGACTGGCTGCAGAGATCTTTTAAAGGTAGAACCCCTAGGCCTTAAGGTCTGATTATGTCGAGCACTGAAGGGGACAGCAAGTCTCAAAGATACACATAGATTTCTAGCCTGGCCAAACGGGCCAATGAGCTTTTAAGTGAAATACATGGTAGGTATGTGACAGAAAAGGAAAGAACACAGTGATGAAATTGAGTTACAGGTGGGAAACTGAGTAACCAGAGGCTGTATCTACAGTCTGGTTCCAGCTTTAGAGGGAGGTTTGAGGGGATAAAACAGCTGGAGGGTTGTCTGTCACTTCAGGTGGGAGTGAGTGAGTTCATGGAGGGGCTGTTAGATCTGGCTTGTTATGTTAAAATAATGCTTATGGGCCCTATGTTTCCATTTCCTTCCCTGAGAAAAGGGAGTGTGTGGTCCAAGCTGGAGGGCTTATGTCTTTTCCCTAACAACCTCCATCCTCCTTTTCCACTGAACTGGCCCTCGATGGGCAGGAGTCAGTGCACGAGGCTGATCTGTGTCTGCCGTTCACTAGAGAACCTTTTTTTTTCCTGCCACAGATTCTGAGAATCACAGGAAAGAGGTTCCGGATTTCCTCTGCAAAGGCAGTTAACTGAGATGCTCCGCCTCCGACTCCACCTTGCTCAGGCTGCTGTGCTCCCCGGGCCTTCAGGATAATAGCTCCGGCTTAGTCTTGCATGTAGACACGCTAATCATTAGAGGAATTCTGCTTGTGGCTGGAGTTTTACAAAAACAGTCCTTTACGAGAGATAAGAGAAGTATGTACAAAACTAATGATTGTTTATCACAGGTTTGCAGGAACCTCGTGACGGGACTCACATCAACTGGAGTCATCGGACTAAGAACCAAGTTTCACAGTCTTGCTCAGACCCCTGCTGGAGCCCAGATGTCTGTGGTCATCGATCGCCTCCTGCCCCTCCCCTTTTACCCTTCCACTGACGAAAGAAACCTGAATTCTGTACTTTCTTACCCTTGCTGACCAGCTGTTTCAAGCTGGAACTCGCCTGTGCCCCCAGGGACTTTTCCACTGTGACTGGTCAGTAAGGTGGGTTCTTCGGGACCCCAGCCCTCCATCCTGGCTCGCTGGCTTTCTGAATAAAGTCGCTTTCCTTGCCCCAGCACATTGTCACTCGACCTAATTATCTGTTGTGTGGCGAGTGGGACAAGCTTGGACTCGGTTACAGGCACAGGCACACCAGGTTTTAATTCCATTTCCAGGATTTCACGAACTAGGAAGCCCATCCTCCATGGCCCAGAAAAGAAAGCCCAAGATGAAACCCTGAAGGAGAGAGATTTGGGTGAAAACAGATGGAGAACTGGTGTAAAGTGAAAAATCAGAGCAGGGAAGGCAGAGAAGGACCGACTTGAGATGGCTGAGTTAGAAATTTAGGCAGTTGACTCCATCGTAATCACCTACCACTGGGGTAACAGGTTTTTTGTTTTGTTTCTTGCCCTGCCTCCTTGCCCAGGATTATTGGAACAGCAGGCTGAATGGAAATGTTACAAGAACGTCTGGAGGAGATGGCCAAGAGTGGAGTATGTGTGAGAGTGTGGCCAAGTGGTGGCCGATGGCCTGAGGTGCTCGGGGAGGGGCTGCAGCTGCCCTGGAGAGCCTCTGCAGGCCCTCCCCTTCCAGGTAACTTGTCTATGATCAGACACGGGTGGCTTGTTCAAGGTCACGGAGCAAAGTCCATGTTCAATTCACTGTGGCCTGGAGTGAAGGGGCTAACAGGCAAGGCAGACCTAGGCGCCAGCGTCATGGCAGGGCCATGGCACTTTAGGAACAGGTCAGGGAACAGAGGAACGGTATAAAGTAGGAGTGGGACTCAGGTTTCATTTTCAGAATGAAAACTTGTGATTCCTGGGTCCTGGGGGAGACCACGCAGTGGAGGGAAAGAGCACTGGAGCTAAGGCTGGGGAGCGGGGAGCTGGGATCTTACTTCATTCAAATCAGGCCGAGGAGGACCCAGCCAGCTGCTCAGGGCCGTGGGGAGGGATGGGGCAAAGCGGAAAGCAGCCAGGGCAGCGAGCTGGTGGCATTGCTGGGTGGCGAGCAGCTTCAAAGAGAACACATTTTGAATGAGGGTGGAAGCGCAGTGACCAGGAGGGATTGGGGACTAGGAAACGGTGCACGTCCTCTTGGCCCCGAGTTCCTGAGGTGAGCGTGAAGGACCAGCCTCTGACCCAGAGGGTTTAGAGAAAAGCAGCGTCGTCAAAGACCAAGTGCCTAGTTTTATCAGTGTCGATATTCCACTGGTTGCAGAGCTTGGGGAAAGGTCTCTGGTAACCTCTACCAGAGGTTGGCAAACTTGTCAGGACACCACCTTCTGGCAGTCTTGGCTAAGTGGTCACTGCCCCAAGGCAATCTCAGATTTGTGGTGTATAACAGCTGAATTGCAGGCTGGTCATTCAGTGGCAAATTGTCCCTATTATTTCTTACATCCAATCTGTACAAGGAAAATTATGCCATTACAAGAGATTTCTGATGATGATGCGTAAACCTCCCCCTTGACCATGTGCTGCAAGGTTACAGTGGCCTGGACCCAACTGCTACAGTTCCTTGGTATGTTTTGTAGGTCTTCAGAAAGACAAGAACAACGCGACCCTGTAGCTCTAGAGCTTCGAAGCGCAAAACGTGGTGATTAGAGCTTTTCATGTTTTCCAGGTAGGGATTCAGCGTCCCTCTGTTGCCTCAGGGAGGTAGGGGGTTGTTACCAGCAGCTGAGTTTCACTGCCCCCTCCCATTCCCCATAATCATGGGAACAGGTAATATTCCAAGTGTCAGCTATCCTCTTTTAAAAATAGGTTAAAACAGTATCAAGGACTAATTCAGAATTACACAGTTGATTTGCTATTGATCAGTAATCTATTGATCAGTTACTATTAGTGCTTGGTTAAATTGCGAAGGAAACTGCTCAGTCATAAGCTCATCTGTGCGCTGTACATGCTCCGTGAGCAGCTGAGACGGGTCCTTGCAGTCGTTCGGGGCAGCTGAAGTCAGTGCAGATACCTAACAACAAAAAGTGGTTTCTAAACAGCATTTCCATTTCTGCAAGCCTGCTAGTCAATTAAAATATTGGAAAGGAACTGATCACAGTGAAGTGTTTTAGCTCTATATCACTTAGCAAATAAAATTATCATTTGATAATCATATTTTCATATTGTGCCCTTCGTGACTAAAAGCAGAAAATTAAGTCAAGACTTAAGGAAACAAGCTATAGAAGTGGAAGCTACCAGAAGCAGGATGGTGAGGAATTAGTGCGGACAAATCACTGTGCCGCCCGTGGGGTCAGCCACAGTGTGAGGTGACAGGGCAGCAACTGAGCTGCACGCTGAAGGACACATGTGGCAGCTTCGCTGGACTGGGAGCGGGAGCCCAGAGTAAGCCTCATCCGCCTATCTTTCCAGTCGGTACGTATGGGACTTTTTGTCTTTCAATCTCTATATGGCGACCGTAAATTATTTTGTTGAAAACATCTTGGGGGAGGGGTGGTTGCAGCCTGTAGGTGACCAGTAGGCAGCCTGGTCTCGCCAGGAAGCC